GAGAAAGAGAGAATGAAAACAGAATAAAAGAGAGAATCTCTCTCTCTCTCTTTCTCTCTCTCTCTCTCTCCAAAAGAAAGAGAAAAAGAGAGAGAGAAAGAGAGAAAAAAATCAGAAAAGAAGAAAGAGAGAGAAAGAATGCGAGAGAGAGATCCATAGCAGGAGGAATTGCTTCTGACAGAGATGTCCGAGGTCGACCCCGGGAGAGACCAGCCGATGCCCCAACAGGACCTAGGCAAGTTGTCCCTCATCCTGTGGGCGATAAAGTGGCATCAGGGAGAGAGAGAAAAAGAAAGAGAGAGAGAAAGAGAGAGAAAAACAAAGAGAGAAAGAAAGAGAGAAACAAAAAGAAACATCTATTTTTTCTTTCTCTCTCATTCTCCCAAAGAGAAGAGAGAGAGAGAGAGAGAAAGAAAAAAGAGAGAGAAAAAGAGAGAAAGAGAGAGAGAAAAAAAAACAGGACAGAGAAAGAGAGAGAAAGAGAGCGAGAGAGAGACCTATAGCAGGAGGAATTACTACTGGCGGAGATGCCCGAGGAGGAGGTAATGGTGCCCCAATAAGACCTAGGTAAGCTATCCCGCATCTTGTGAGCGATAAAATAGCATTAGGGAGAGAGAGAAAGAGAAAGGGGGAGAGAGAAAGAAAAATAAAGAGAGAGAGAGAGAAAGAAAACATAAAAAAGAGAGAAAGAGAGAGGAAGAAAGAAAGAAAAAGAGAAAGAAAAATCTTTATTTTTCTTTTCTTTCTTATTTTCTCAGAGAGAAAAGGGGAGAGAGAGAGAGAGAAAGAGAGAGAGAGAGAGAGAGAGAAAGAGAAACAAAAACATAGATAAACAGATAAAAATTCGAAATAAAGACAAATAAACACTATTAAATAAATAGACGCGGACACACGGAAATAGACAAAGAGACACAAAAAGACCACGGACATATAAACACAAACAGAATTGAACCGAGGCAGCCCGAGAAACAGAGAGACATAGACACACAGATAGATAGAGATAGAGAGGCCCAAACACCAAAAAGAAATAAATTGGGATACACAGAGATATTTAAAGATAGACAGAGAAAATCAAAGAATACGAAATAGATACAAACACACAGAAACAGATTGGGAGACATAGAGAGAGGGAAAGATACGGAGACACCCGGCACAAAATGTTCGAGAAATTTCGACTCGGCCCGGAAGGCCCCAAAATTTTAAATTGTTTGGGTGATTCTTAACAATTTTGCTTAGAGTTCCCGTGGCGTAACCCGGCCAAATTTTCCCGAATTTTGGGTCGCTTCCGGCGACGTGGTGCTTAAATTTCCGAACATTACCCCGCACCTAGATCGACGTAAGTCGGCGTGTTTACATCATATCCAAGGTTCGATTCGACTTGGTGTAGCAACCGTTCCCAAAGCCCGAGTTCCTAGATGGCAATTATCGACTACATAGATCCCGAAATGACACGATTTCAATGTTTCTATAACGTATTTAAAAATTGTATTACCTGGAATCAGAAAAAATGAGTAGTCTCCTTCCCTCCCTCCCTCCCTCTCCCTCCCTCCCTCCCTCCCTCTTCCTTACTCCCTGCCTCCCTCTCCCCCTCTCCCCCCCCTTCGTCTCCCTCTCTCCCCCTCCCTCTCCCTCTCTCCCCCCCTCCCCCTCCCTCCCTCCCTCCTTCCTTCCCTCCCTCCCTCCTTCTCCCTCCCTCCCTCCTCCCTCCTTCTCCCCCCTTCCCTCCCACCCCTCCCCTCCCCTCCCTGCCTCCCTCCCCTCCCTCCCCTCCCTCGCCTCCCCTCCCCTCCCTGCCTCCTTCCCCTCCCTCCTTTCCGTCCTTGCCTCCCTCACTCTCCTTCCCTCCCTCCCTCTCCCTCCCTCCCTCCCTCCTTCTCTCCTTCTCCCTCCCTCCCTCCTTCCCTCTCCTTCCCCCCTTCGTCTCCCTCTCTCCCCCCCTCCCTCTCCCTCTCTCCCCCCCTCCCCCTCCCTCCCTCCCTCCTCCCTCGCCTCCCCTCCCCTCCCTGCCTCCTTCCCCTCCCTCCTTTCCGTCCCACTCTCCTTCCCTCCCTCCCTCTCTCCCTCCCTCCCTCCTTCTCCCTCCCTTCCCTCCCTTCCCTCCCTTCCCTCCCTTCCCTTCCCATCCTTCCCTTCTTTCCTTCCCTCCCTCCCTCCCTCCTTCCCTCCCTCCCTCCTCTCCCCTCCACTCCACTCCCCTCCCCTCCTCTCCCTGCCTCCCTCCCCTCCCTCCCCTCCCTCCTTGCCCCATCCCATCTCCCTCCCTCCCTCCCTCCCTCCCTCCCGTCCCTCCCTCCCTCCCTCCTCTCCTCTCCCTCCCCTTCTCCGCTCCCCTCCCCTCCTCTCCTCTCCTCTCCTCTCCTCTCCTCTCCTCTCCTCTCCTCTCCTCTCCTCTCCTCTCTCTCCTCCCCTCCTCTCCTCTCCTCTCCTCTCCTCTCCTCTCCTCTCCTCTCCTCTCCTCTCCTCTCCTCTCCTCTCCTCTCCTCTCCTCTCCTCTCCTCTCCTCTCCCCTCCCTCCCTCCCTCCCTCTTTCCCTCCCTCCCTCCTTTGCAAGCCGAGCTGCGGGAGTGTACTTCGTATATTATGTTTTTCTAAAAATTGTGATTCTTATGCCGGACCTACGGGAACATATTTCGTATGCTATTTTTTCTTAATTTGGAGATATGGGAGCACGCTTCGCATTTTACTTTTACACTTAATTTTAACGTAAATTATAATGCTCCGATACATACGATTCCCGTAGAGGATTCGTCGGCTAGTCTGCAAATTCGCATGGTGCCGTAGCGCGAGCGAGCCGTTACGCACGATTCCCGTAGAGGGTTTGTCGACCAGCGTGCAAATTCGCACGTCGCTATAGCGAGAGCGATCCAACACGCACGATCCCCGCAAAGGATTCGTCGGACAGCATGCAAATTCGCGCGGCGCTATAACGAGTCGACACGTTCCTCGCAGAGGATTCGTCGGCTAGCATGTAAATTTGCACGGCGCCACAGCGAGAGCGATCCGACGCGCATGATCTCCATAGAGGGTTCGTCGGCGATATAGAAAATTCGCATGGCGTTACAACGAGAGCGCTCCGACATATACGATCCCCGCAGAGGGTTCGTCGGCCAGCATGCAAATTTGCACGGCGCCACAGCGAGAACGATTCGACACGCAAAATCCCCGCAAAGGGTTTGTCGGCCAGCATGCAAATTCGCACGGCGCTACAACGAGAGCGATCCGATACGCACGATTCCCGTAGAGGGTTCGTCGGCCAGCGTGCAAACTCGCACGGCGCCACAGCGAGAACGATCCGACACGCACGATCCGCGCAGAGGGTTCGTCGGCCAGCGTGCAAATTCGCATGGCGCCACAACGAGAGCGCTCTGACACGCATAATCTCCGCAGAGGGTTCGTCGGCGACGTAGAAAAATCGGCACGGCGCCACAGCGAGAGCGCTCCGACACACACGATCCCCATAGAGGGTTCATCCCGCTAGCGCCCGCCAGACCCACCCCCGGGTAAGAAAGAAGATAGATTTTAAAGGCTGCGAGCTTGGGTTGGGTAAGCTAGGTTGCGTGACTCAGGCTGCGTAAGTCAGGCTGCGAAAAAAATCAGACTGCGAAAGTCAGGCTGCGTAAGTCAGGCTGCGTCAGCCAGGCTACGTAAGTCAGGCTGCGTAAGTCAGGCTGCGTAAGTCAGGCTGCGTAAGTCAGGCTGCGTAAGTCAGGTTGCGTTAGGCTGCGTAGGTCAGGCTGCATAAGTCAATTTGAGTAAGTCCCGTTGCGTAAGCTAGGTTGTTTAAGTTAGGCTGTGCAGTCGGCAATCGTTTTTTCCAAAGAACCCTTCGCGATACTTTCGGGAGTATTTTCCTACCTTTCCCTTTTAAAATCTTTTTCCGCCCTTCCCTCCCAAAATCTTTAATTCCTTTTTCCCCAAGAATGTTTAATCCCCTTTTCCCCCCCAAATCTATTATTCCCTTTTTCCCTCTAAATATTTAATTATCACCAAGAGAACCATATATCCGCCCTAAAACACATTATGAGTTTTTCCGCCACCACAAAATCGAGGAAATTAGGCAACAAAGACGAACTAACCAAGCGAGCCCTTCAAAACCAGAAAGAGGAAAATTCTTGCTTTGATAAACAATGCCGTTATACAAGCCTTCATCATAACCATACACAAAATCTTCACCAGAACAAATAAAAGAAGCCTTCTTACATTGCCAAATCCATATAAAATATTAAAACTAATATCATAATTTAAGATATAAAATCAAAACTCAATATAATAATATATACAAATTTAATTATATATTATCTTATTTTCCCATATCTACCTAGACGAATACAAAACAATATCAATATTCAAATTCATATATATATATATATGTGTGTATATGTCCCGAATACAAGGCCAATAATAATCCAATATGAGGACAATATATTTTCCGGTTTTAAATAAATAACATATAAATATATAAAGGAGGAAAGGAGAAACCAAATTTTTAGGGGGAAGAAGGAAAAACATATAAAAAATAGGGAACTAAATTCATGGAACAAATACAATCAAAATAGAAAAACAATCTTAAGGGAAAGAAAAAAAGAAAAGAAAAAAACTTAAAAACAAAAAAGAAGAAATATACAAAATATAAAAAATCAAAATAACAATAAACATTAAAAAAGATAAAAAAAACAACAAAGGCGAAAAAAAGAAAAAACAAATACCAAATTTGGGCGGAGGGGGAGGAGGAATGTAAAAAAGAGAATAACAAATCTCATACACAAAAAAAGCAAATAAACATATATATATATATTATTTAAAAAACAATAAAATATTTCCAATTAGAATAATAATAATAATATATCCAAAACACTTAATTAATAAAATAATTCGAAAAAATAAAAACCAAGCCTATAATTCGACAATCTAATCCAATAATATATTAATTCAATGTATTTTTATTATTATTGATATATCTTAATATAAATCATATAATAATAATTATTTATCAACATTTTCCATTTGAGTTTCCGTCACCATGTTTGTCGAAAAATCGTTAAGCGCTCCTGGAACTGCTCTGTGTACAATGGTCTGTTAAAAAATTGCGGCAGAAGGCGCCAGACGCCATTGGCACTGCGACGCTCTGCTCGCACTTTGGGTGAAACTTGCGGCAATGCGCCTGGGAATGATTCCGTCTCGAATGCTACGAAAAGCGCCGCAAAGTATTGTGAGTACTCTTTGCGAGGAACAAGGTCTGCCCCAAACAGCAGCTGTTGCAACAGTTGAATTGAGCCCTTGCAGTGGCCAAGGCCATGAGCTCATGGGGCCACGGCAATTAGGACGGCATGTTGCCCGTAGAGCCCCCCGTTTTGGTCCCATTCAACAAAAGGGGACTAAGAGTGAGCCATTCGACCAATGTGCCATCTTGGGTCCCTAGCCGTCATGCGTCATGTCAGCCTATCCTAATGCACCAGTGGCAGCGCTGCGGCAGCCGTTGCTGCTGTCGCCAAGGCTGCAGCAACATCTACCGCGCGCTCCTTCTCCTGGCATCCGTTGGCTGCGATTAGATTCTGCAAAGCATGCTGTCAAAAGAATCCCTATTTCTCCTGAGCACCCAATTCAGGTTTAACACGGCCACGTGTGGCCAAGCATGCCAGGGGCACAAGCAGGATCCTAGATGACACTCCATCAGAAATCGCTCTCTCCCCAGGCTCCACTTTGCACTTTGCACGCACGCACGCACGCACACACATCAACTGGGTGAATGATGCAAAGGAACCTGCTTGGGATTCAACCTGTGTCATCTCGAATTCTCAGGTTTGTCTTTCGACGGAGCGCTTGGTTCCTGCATGCAGGAAGCAATTGCGTAAAGTTAAGCCAGGTTGTCTTTTGCGGCACCGCTGTTCCCTGCACATCAGTGCCCTGACGACAAGCCGACGTCCTTCTTGCTGTTCTTGTTCTTCTTTCGCTCGTCAAAGAAGGCTTTGAGGCTCTGTCTCGTTGAATGCAGAAAGGCGCAGGCAAGCCTCACTTGGCCAGAGCTTGTCTAGCCAATAATGAAGATAAGTGTTGCTATGGCACCCTTGCAGACAGAGTGAACAAAGCGCCTCGCGGCCTGGATTGAGATGCCTGCACAAGCCTGCCCAATGAACCCAGAGACCCACTGTCACAAGCATCCATCAGAACGAAGGGAGCCGCTACATCTGTCCAATCAAATCATTCTGCCTGGGCGAATGAGATGGAAACAAATGGATGAGAACAGAGATAAGTGAAAATGGATTCTGCCTTCATTCTCTTATGAACCGACATGAAGGTGCCATCAGAATCTCAGAATCATTCCTACATTCTATAACCATATTATGGTTAAGGGAATTTCTATCTCATCAAGAATTACGCTTACGCTGTGGACGAAGAGGTCCTAAGGAATGATATGTTTTTGCAATAAGAATCCATTGCCGCAATAATAATCCGGTAAGAAATGGAGATGAAACAAGGATGAATAGTTCTGGATTCATATTGTTGTAGTATTAGTAATTATATTTCTATAATGTTGGGTGATAAGATTGTCGATTTCTGAATTTATTATTTTTCCTGTCACTACTGCCCAGCTAAGTCTATGTCTCAGGAAATCTGCAGACACTTTATTTCATTTTATGATTATGTGCAGCCGGTGAAAGCACCCTTGACAAGAAGATAATTGTATGTTATTTCTTCATCTTTGCTTAAAATAATATTTCGTATTCTCTCTATCTTCTACTTTCATCCTTCTAATTGTATTCTCATGGATCCATTCCTTCGTCTCGCTTGGAGGACTGACTGTCATAATGCGACCATGAGGTAGGACATGCCATCACCAGCATTTACTTTCATGATCTCATTTACGAGCTGGTGATGGGAAGGTCCAAAGCTCAAGGAATCCTTTCCTGATGTCATGCCTTGCGGCCATGGTGCCATTCCCTCTTGGGCACGGCCTCCTGTGAGGTGACGATCTGCACACCTCGATCTCACTGACATGAATTTGGAGACGCAGGCGCAGCTTAAATTCTCGCGTGCCGACGTGTACTGCTTGTACGCTTGCCGTAAAGTCATTCAATATATACATATACACATACGTACATACGAACATATTAGAGCGACATTCTGAAATCTGCATTCAGGCTTGCATTTGGCCGCATGCCTGCACCGACATTGTGTACACATATGCGCCTGTCATACCTGTCAACAAGCAGCACAACGAGGAAACGTGTTCAGCCATTGGTTCAGCCTTTCCATGAAGCTGCCGGAGTCCTTCAATCAGCCAATGGAGCGCTTCGGCAATTGTTCGAAGATTTTCCGACCCACATCCTGCACCAATGCTGCAAAAGCGCGGTCGCCGTTTTGAAGCAAATAGAAGGGGCTCACCTGGACAGGTCAGAAGCAGCATATTAAACATGCTGCTAGCCGTCCAATCAATCCAAGCGTTTTCCATGAGCCTCTGGCAAACCTTTCCGCTCAAACAACTAGGCACATAGAACTGAAGCACAGGCGGCAAGCTCGATTCTTTCAGGTGCTGGTCGCTCCGGCCTTTTTGTCGTTGATGACGGGGTAAAGCATGTGGAGGCCAACCTGAGCGAAATACACAGCTGTTCACATGGTCCGGAGAACGAGCGCAAACTGCTGCGCTTGACCGGAGGAAGGTCAATGAGGCTTTGTGAAGGTCCCCAACCACCAAACATTCAACCTCAGTCGAAGGTGTATGTACAAGCCTTCCATCCTTCCACAAAGCTTAGATCATATTCACTTCAGATTTTGTTTAGGGTTTGGGGTCTAAAAAATCCATTCATGGCAGCCTGGGCAGACCACTGGAACATCAAATGCTGCGTTTTGGATTGGAGTCCGATCCGGAGTTGTCCGTTTGTTGGAGTCCGATTTCTCTGGAGCAGCTCATGTACCAGTCCTTAAGGAGAACATCAGCGCATAGCGCGTTCAACAGCTTGCACTTCTTCAACATGGCGAATGCATGTGCAAGCCCATGTGTTTGCACCGCAAGGCCTGCTCGTGGATCTTGAAGGCCGCATCCAAGGCGGTGCAGCCACCTCAGTGGACCCCAGGCTCCACCTCAACGGAGGTACAGAGGTGCACCGCCAAGCAAGGGATCAAAATCACGCAGGGGGCGTGCAATGTGTCGCGGCGAGGATCTGCAATAGTGTTTCATCATGGCGGGTGCTTTCGGCTGAGGTCATGCAAAAGGATCCAACACAAACATGCCTGCAGCATGACGATGAGGCTACCCTCATGCTCAAGCCCGGCTTGTCTCCCACAATGTGCATTGCCAATTGGGGTAATGAGGATAGTGGGCGAAGGTCCAAAGAGTGAAACAGCGGAGCAAGGACGCATCTGCAGCGAGGTTGCGAGAAAGCTCCAGGATGGTGCCGTTACCCAAGATTACGAAGCACCTTGCAGGGCACCCTTTTGCTACATGTCCGGTCTTGGAATCTGGAGCTGGCTAATTGCTGCTGTCTGACATGGAACGTCTAATGCCTGCAGATTCCACACACAAACACATAGCAGTCCATAGTGGCAAGGATTTTTCAGGCCTGCGCAACCCATGCCATGTTCCCCCCGAGTTCCGCCTCTTTCCCAGCTCGTCACGCAAGACCTGGCAATTTTGCTATCATGCTTGTGACTTTGCTTCTGAAGCTTGCATACTGCCAACAGCTGCCCCACATTCTCCTGCAAGGTTGGCGGCTCAAAGCACACCACAGCCGTAACTTTCAGCTCTAAAGGGCAAAGGGCAAACCCCTTCACCAATAAAAATGTGACACGTCTGATCTAGAGGGGCTCGTTCATGTTCTACCAACGGCGCGATGTCTAGCTTGCTCACACTGCACAACACCACCTGAGACGCTTCGGAACAACAGAGCCAACTTGCCACAAACACGCCGTGGTTTGGCCTCCTGCACGAACTCCAGCGGGTCAGCTCTGAGCTTTCTGTCCTTGGCAATTGCTCCAAGGCAATTGCCTTTTTGCACTGACAAAAGTCTCCAACCAGGCACCCTGAGGGCGGAAGGGCGCTGCATTGTGCCAGGAATGGCATTAACATCAATCCGAACCCCATTGAATCCCTCGGTATTGAGTCGATGTCTGTCGCGGTCTAGCCACCAAAATCCCAAAGCAAAGGGAACCCAGTGCTGCGAAGGCCCCTTTCATGATATTTAAAACAAAGAGAAAGCGAGGCGCGCTGCAGCGCTGGTGGAAATCCTGCAATAACATGCAGGCAAATGGACAATGACCGCTTGGCCAAGGAGCTTTGTCTGCCAGCGAGTCCAGAAAGGTCACACGGCGGCTTTGCGTCTCTGACATCTTGGACCTAGAAGGAGATTCGATCCCTTGGAAAGGTCTAAAGACCAATCTTGGAGTTTGTCGGTTGAAGCTGGCGCGGAAGGCAAGCTGCCACAGCCCCAACCTACGCAGGCAAACTGTGACAACAATGCATGCCCCTTGTGCTGAAGTGGCACGGGCGAGGGATGGTTTTTGTTGTGAGATTGTGATTTGAGGTGCTTCTTTTAAGGAAGCGAGGCTGTCTGTAAAATCAGCAAGAGAGAGGAACAATGACATCCAAAAGCAATTGTTTCAGCCCTAATACCTTCAAATCCACCCTCTGTTTCGCAGATTCCCTAACTCGGTTGCAAACATCCCCGTAATGCCCTGAGTCTTGCAAGCAAAACCGCACTCGTGGCTACTAATTCCTGATCCTATCGCGAAAAGGCATAACAGTTGATGGTTTCGGGCCGGACTCGAACTTTCGCGAAGACTGTTGCGTCCGAGCCCCAGGCCGGTCTTCATAATTCCAATGCGCGTAGCATATGCCGTACCTGGCAGGCTGCCAAAGGATGGCGCACTGGTGCCAAATCGTTGGGCGGTACGCTCTTCTAGGGCTTCCAGACCTTGTTGGTTGCTTTTCCTGCTTTAGGCGTTCTCAGGTTGCTTTTCCTCTTTTTGGGGGGTCACGGATTTAGGTCTGGGATTTAGGTTTAGGCTTTAGGTTTAGGATTTTTAGGTTTAGGGTTTTTAGGTTTAGGGTTTTGAGGTTTAGGGTTTTGAGGTTTAGGATTTTCAGGTTTAGGAACTAGTTTTAGGGTTTGGGTTTATGGTTTTAGGTTTAGGATTGTTAGGTTTAGGAATTAGGTTTAGGGTTTGGGTTTAGGGTTTTGAGGTTTTAGGGTTTTTACGTTTAGGATTTAGGTTTAAGGTTTTGAGGTCTAGGATTTAGGTTTAAGACTTAGGTTTAGGAATTAGGTTTAGGATTTAGGCTTAGGGTTTTGGTTTAGGATTTAGGTTTTGGCTTTTGCTCTTGGATTTGGTTTTAGGCTTTTGGCTTTGGCTTTTGGCTTTGGGCTTTGGTTTTTTGGCTTTTAGGGTTCCTGCCGCCGTTCTCAGGTTGCTTTTCCTCTTTTTGGGGGGTCACGGATTTAGGTCTGGGATTTAGGTTTAGGCTTTAGGTTTAGGATTTTTAGGCTTAGGGCTTTTAGGTATAGAAGTTTTAGGTTTAGGAATTTGGTGTAGGATTTAGGTTAGGGTTTTGAGGTCTAGGATTTAGGTTGAAGACTTAGGTTTAGGAATTTGGTGTAGGATTTAGGCTTAGGGTTTTTAGGTTTAAGGTTTTTAGGTTTAGGGTTTAGGTTTAGGATTTTTAGGTTTACGGTTTATAGGTTTAGGGTCTTTTAGGTTTAGGATTGTTAGGTTTAGAAATTAGGTTTAGGGTTTGGGATTAGGGTTTTGAGGTTTTAGGGTTTTTAGGTTTAGGATTTAGGTTTAGGGTTTAGGTTTAGGATTTAGGTTTAGGGTTTTTAGGTTTAGGATTTAGGTTTAGGGTGTCGAGGTCAAGGATTTAGGTTTAAGACTTAGGTTTAGGAATTAGGTCTAGTGTCTACTTCTCGTCTAGTGCTGGTCTCTAGTGCTCGTCTAGCGCTCGTCTAGTGTTCGTCTAGTGCTCATCCAGCGCTCGTCTAGCGTGCTCGTCTAGTGCTCGTCCAGTGCCCGTCTAGTGCTCCGTCTAGTGCTTGTCTAGTGCTCGTCGAGTGCTCATCTAGTGCTCGTCGACAGCTCGTCTAGCGCTCGTCTACTGCCTGTATAGTGCTCGTCTAGCGCTCGTCTAGTGCCCGTCTAGCGCTCGTCCAGCGCTCGTCTAGTTCTCCATCTAGCGCTCGTCTAGTGCTCCGTCCAGCGCCCGTCTAGTGCTCTTCTATCCCTGGAAATGTTCCAGAAATTTCCGGGGATGGCTTGCGCCCTCCCACATGCTCTTCTGGCGCTCGTCTAGTGCTCGGCTCGTACAGTGCTCGTCTAGCGCTCGTCCAGCTCTCGTCTAGCGCTCCGTCTAATGCTCGTCTAGTGCTCGTCTAGTGCTCCGTCCAGCGCCCGTCGAGCTCTTCTATCCCCAGACTTTTTCCAGAAATTTCCGGGGGTGGCTCGCGCTCGCCCTATTCTGGCGCTCGTCCAGCGTCTAGTGCTCGTCCAGTTGCTCGTCTAGCGCTCGTCCAGTGCTTGTCTAGTGCTCCGCTTAGTGCTTGTCTAGTGCTCGTCTAGTGCTCGTCCAGTGAACGTCTAGTGCTCGTGCAGCGTCAACCGCTCGTCTGGTGCTCTGTCTAGTGCTCTTGTATGCCCGGACATTTTCCAGGGTCGTCCAGCGCTTGTCTAGTGCTCGTCCAGTGCTCGTCTAGTGCTCCGTCTAGCGCTTGTCTAGCGATCGTCTAGCGCTCGTCTAGTGCTTGTCTAGTGCTCGTCTGGTGCTCGTCTAGCGCTCGTCTAGCGCTCGTCAGTGCTCCATCTAGTGCTCGTCTAGTGCTCCGTCCAGCGCCCGTCTAGTGCTCTTCTATCCCCGGAAATTTTCCGGAAAATTCCAGGGGTTGTGCCCTCCCTAGAGCCTTCTGGCGCTTGTCCAGTGCTCGTCCAGTGCTCGTCTAGTGCTCCGTCTAGCGCTTGTCTAGCGTTCGTCTAGTGCTCGTCTAGTGCTTGTCTAGTGCTCGTCTGGTGCTCGTCTAGCGCTCGTCTAGCGCTCGTCAGTGCTCCATCTAGTGCTCGTCTAGTGCTCCGTCCAGCGCCCGTCTAGTGCTCTTCTATCCCCGGGGTTGTGCCCTCTCTAGAGCCTTCTGGCGCTTGTCCAGCGCTCGTCCAGTGCTCGTCTAGTGCTCGTCTAGTGCTCGTCTAGCGCTCGTCTAGTGCTCGTCTAGAGCTTTGTCTAGCGCTCGTCTAGTGCTCGTCTAGCGCTCGTCCAGTGCTCGTCTAGCGCTCCGTCTAGTGCTCTGTCTAGTGCTCTTCTCTTCCCGGAAATTGTCCAGAAATTTCCGCGGGTGGCTCGTGCTCTCCCCATTCCGGCGCTCGTCCCGTGCTCGTCTAGCGCTTGTCTAGTGCTCGTCCTCCAGTGTTCTCGAACATGTGGAAGCAGGCAGGGCGCGTGCTTGCAACCCTGTCCCGTGCAGGATCATGATGGAGAGATACCTGGAGGCCGTGCAATTCGTTAGGTTGCCTGGTCTGCTGGGCCAGGTATGGTGCCTGCTGCCCCAAAAACTGTTGCACATGATCATTTTTGAGGAAAATGTTTGTTTTGCCTTCTGGGTGTTGAAATTTCCACACTGGTGCTACAAAAACCGTTCGGGCTTGCGGAGCAGACCGAACCTTGTGTTGCTGACGTCGCTTGCTGGCACTCCATCAATTGCGCTATTGTTGCGTAATCCAGTGCATGCTTACGTTCTTTTGGCGTCATGTCATGGGCCGTGCCTAGGATGCAGTGTTGGAAATACCGTAGCTGGTTTCACTACAAGCTCGCTGGGAAGCGGCTTCGGCACTGAAAGCAGAAAAAGCAACCAAAACGGCGCCAAAACAGAAAAAGCAACCGCCTACCTACTTATGCCCTCTTCTAGAGGGCAAACTCACTGGTGTGACTGTAGTTGCTGAGTGCCAGGTCAGGTGCTCTGGAGTGGTCGTGGTTGAGTTGCTGAAGGTGTAGCTTCTGCTGCCCTCACATCCCTGCCCTGGAGCGTTCACACCCTGATTACAAGGCTCGCCGAGTTAGACTGCCGCAGTGAGAAGACTAGAAGGCGGGATGGGTTCTAGAGTCAGCCGTTGGGACAAGAAATGATTCCCTTCGAAGTACTTCTTGATCAGACACAAGCTGAACAAATAATTGCTTAATAATAGATTGAGAACTTGTCCAAGAGCACGTAAAGGAGCGGGAGTCAGATCAGGACGGGCATTAGGAAAGCCATGAGGTGATTTGAATCTTCGTTCCTCACCTCGTCTCTCCATTCCTTGCCTAATTCCTTCAATCTTGTTTGCTGGTCCGTGCTCTGGCTCCCTTTGTTCGCGAGCAACAGGAGCGAGGGAGTGGCCGTCTCTTTCTCTCGCATGCCCATCCAACAAACCAGAACTACTAGAGTTTAAAAAGCTTTCCAAACCTCCAAGAGATACAAACTACAAAGGAAGGAACGTATATTAACAAAAACCGAAGGTGACTGTACACCAACTCGACTGGTGTTTCTTGCACCCAGTTTAGGGGCCGTTTTAGCCTGGCTGAGGGTCGTGCGGTGGTCAGCTTGCTTCAAGGTTGGTTTAGTGCTGATTTAGTAGTTGTAAGGTAGTTTTGGGATAAGTTGAGCATTCGCTAGCTTGTTTGTTGCTTTAGGAAGTATGGCGGTCTTTGGTAGGTTTGGGGTAGGTCTATTGCGGTTTCGGGGTGGGAGGTTGACGCTCGTAGGCAATGCTGCGCAGATCTGTCTGTCTGAGGAGCCTTGGAAGCCTCAGCCAAAAACACGCACTGCAGATTTCAATTTTCCCCCAATTTTGTTCCGAAAGCGCCCCTCCTTGCTGCATCCAAGGATTCACCAGAAGTCCCCCTAGGGCCCCCGGCTCCGCCACCTCGTGCATGCGTCGGGTTCGGATCTGGAGCTCCAGGGGCACCACCGAGTCCTCGTGGATGAAGGTGACGTGCAGCGACTGGTAGCCTGGGAGGCCCGGACGCTTGCGCAACGCAAGCGTGTGCTCTCTAGATCGGAAAAAAGCACCTGCGCGAAAACGAGGAAAGTCATTCTCCCAAAGAAACTGCAACGGCACATGCTCACAATCACAGCTAGTTTGTGAAGTTGACGTGATTCTTGCAGTTCGTGAGCACGTCTAGAATCACCTTTGCTTTGTCAATGAATTTGATTCACGCGATCTCCTCCCAGTTGGCGCCTGGTCGGCCCGAACTCTGATGAGTGCGCAATTGACAACTTGAAGTACGTGGCTCGTTTTAGGTCTGCGAGATTTGGCTCAACACAACAGGGCGATGCCTAGCAATTCTTCGCTGCGAGGAGCTGCTGAGAGACGCATCTTGACAACCCCCAACCCGAAAGGTGCACAAGGGGCCCTTTGCATTTTTGGGCTGCTCCACGTTTAGCGGAGAACCCACTAAACAAAAAGAGAGGTAGAGGGTGCCACTGAACGTTGGGTTTTGCATGCTAAGCCTTGACTACAAAACGACCCAACAAATAGAACAAATGTTGAACGCTCGGCGTTTGGACCAAGCAACCAGCCGGCGATTCAGCCCACTACTGAGCCCACCTTCAACCAGCCCTCTGCCAGCCCTTACACAAACAAGCTAGGCAACGCCAAGCAAAACAAAACCCTTCCCTCGCGGAACTCTCCTCCAAACAGGAAATAAGCTTAGGAGATATCCCCAACAGCACCACACGCTCCCAGAATCCTCGCAGAACACTTCGGGACCCACCTCACCGCCGGTTTTGCTGAGGATGCCGCCTTGTAACTTTATGAGTGACAGCGCAATTGCGCCCGGATCGGGGGCCCGACGGAGGCCCGACGGCACAATCGAGGCCCGATCGGGGCCATCGGGGCCCGAGCGGGGCCCGACGGTGCAATCGGGGCCCGAGCGGGGCCCGGTGGTCCCGTGGCGCAAGCGGGCTCCCACCAACCCCAGCCACCCATATTATAGCTCAAGCAAAACTAGATTGGGGCCCGATCGGGGCCCGACACCGTTCTCATGAAAGTCGTGGAGCGCAGCGGGAGAACCTTTCCTCAGGGCTGCCCCATAGCTTTTGCAGAACCTGGTGGAAACCTCGTGGAGCTTTCTTTTGGAACCTTACGCCCACCAAGTTATACTCAGTAATGCCAAGGCGTTGCCTGAGCAAGTGAGCAAGTGACAAAACAGTGAAGGTGTGCTGAAATTCGGTTTTGCTTAGTGTCCCATGAGCAAAGCGATCCTCTGAGCCCTCAATTTACTGCTCCGATGGCTTTTCAGACGTTGGCGCGCGACACATTGCTTCCTTGCGGAACATTTGTGGAACTTGTGGAGTGTTGTGGACCTTGTGGAATCCTTGCGGAACTGTCACCTCAGGGCCGGACCATCCCGCAGCCCGTGGAACCCTGGAACTTTCATGGAACCCAGAATCCGGTGAAGCTCCTGGAGCCTGACCACCCCGCAGCCCTTGCACCCCGGACCACCCCGCAGCCCTTGCAGAACCTGGTCGAACCCTGGTGGAATGGAACTTTCGTGGGAACCTTACCTTAACCACTGCACAACTTGGTGGAACCCTGAACCTTACCTCAACCACCCCGGACCACCCCGCAGCCCTCGCAGAACCCTGGTGAAATGGAACCGAACCTTACCTCAACCCTGTGGTGGAACGTCGTGGAACCTTACCTCAACCACCCACCCCGCAGCTCTTGCAGAACCTGTGGAACTGTGGTAGAACCCTTGTGGAACCAAATTAAATCACCCCGGGCCACCCCCGCAGCCCTTGCAGAACCTGGTGGAACCCTGGTGGAACCCTCGTAGAACCTTACCTCAAACAAGCCCCGGACCACCCCGCAGCCCTCGCAGAACCTGGTGGAACCCTCGTGGAACCCTTGTGGAACCTTACCAGCCCTCGCAGAACCTGGTGGAACCCTGGTGGAACCCTCGTGGAACCCTCGTGGAAACCCTCTGGAACCTTACCTCAACCACCCCGGACAACCCCGCAGCCCTCATGGAAGCTGGTGGAACCCTGGTGGAACCCTGGTGGAACCTTACCTCAGGGCCGCCCCGGACCACCCCAGAGCCTATCTGGTCTGAGACCCCAAAGCTTTCAGCTGTTGGGGAAAAACCCTATAAGATCATAAATTTCTCTACACGCTGCCCTATCTGTCCAACACATCCTCACCTCCAGGTCTGGCTCTTCAAGAGACGGCTTTGTTCGGAAGCTCGGAATCTCGGATCGGACACTTACTGGCCAAAAATGTGGCTCCCCAGGCCCCAAACTGTGAACTTTTTTCGGCCTCAGGCCGCCCGCGAACGCCAAGCCTAGGGGCGACAGCCTAGCGTTTTCGGCAACGCGCAGCGTTCAGTGTGGCGGAACAAGTCTCCCCCAAATCTTTGGGAAAACAGGCTGTGAGCTTGATTGAGCTCCTATTCCCAAACAGAAGGCACCAATGCCCGCTCGATCAATCTCGATCATGCAGGGATTTTCATCCACAAAACGCGAGTCGTAAACGCAAAGCGTCGCAATACGACCGAGGATCCAACGGTAGGTTTCCAACGGTCTGCAACGGCCAATCAAGTTGAATGCTTCAAACAAGGAGAAGACCGCAGAAACTGTCCGCTCAGCCGTGTCTCTACCTGTGCGCCCTGCAGCAACACGTTGCGCTGGGCATTTGCTGTTCAGCTCAACATACTTGGATAGATGCCACTCCGCGTTCTGGCTCGAATCCTTCTGCGCAGCATGACAAAACCTCAAGCACGGATTAGGCCCCGACTCGATTTAAAAACAACGGGCAAAAAGAGAATATATTCATCGAGTAAAGGACCTTCGTTGTTGTTCCTGCGAGCTCGCCATGGCAGCGCCTCGTAGCGCCTCGCGCCATCGAACACATCGGCTTTCGGCAAATTGTCAGAAGGGGTCCAGGCGTCACTCCCTGCTCTGGATGTCTGAGAACGCGCCGCTCTCCTCATTGGTGGTGCATGGTGGTGTTGATGCCGTCGCGTAGCCCGAGCTCTTGGAGCCATCCGGGTTCATGGGCCTTGAGAACAGCACCTTGGTCGCCTACGGCTTCCCGTCCCAAGTCGGCAGTGTCGATGGTGTTGCCTGTTGCAATATGGGATGCACACCACCGTCAGCGCGGGCGGCCCTGATCAGCACGTTCTCACCCCAAACGAAGGTACTCAATTCAAAAACGCGAATTGAAGGTAATCAGTGAACAAAGGAGCTTGCCGGCCCTTCAGCCAATGTGGTTAGAGAGCGGCCCATGACGTCCATGCCCAAAATGGCGCCGTCATATGGTACATCGCCGCCTTCACAAAATCCTTCTGGGCGTCTGGCGTGAAACTCCGCATAGTGATCCACAAAGTTGGGCGCTCCAAGCCTATACTTGTCCGTCAAGCAGGCCGATGCCCGTGGCAATCCCTGCGGTGTACGGGTTTGCCATGGCGAAAGTTCGAGACATGATGCATTGCCGGGCCTGTCAACGATCGCTCTAGTGGAGCTCTCTGCTTGAGCTAATGTGGCTACGGCCCACGACGCTGCTCGTGATGATGCCCGCTCTTAACCCTTGCCGCGCCACCATTGGGCTTTGGGTACCGGATGTAGTCCTTCACGCAATCTCCTCCTTGGCTCCAGAACGCAGTTCCTTCACAGCAAGACAACCCTAGAAGCACTTCGGGAAATAGGAAAAGTGAGGCACGCGTTTTGCATGCGTGATGTGTTTTGAGTTGCGGAGGTCCCTCAAAGGCAACACGCCGCCTGTCCTTGATTATACAAGTTGAAAGTCAGTTCGGAATCAAAGATAGGCGTTTTAAGGAACACACCGCACGTTCTACTTTCGAAGCTCGAGCAAAAGAAGCAAGGAAGGGACCTCAAAGGGACAAACAACTTTTGCCTTGCAGGCGATGGCTGGCAGATGTAGCTATGCTTGCCCCCAATTACCATGCCAGATGCCTGAACATCTGGCAAAGTGTACGGCCATTGGGTCCGCCAAAAGTGAAGCAACCAAGAACTGCCCAGTCTAGAAACCAAACAACCAGACCGACCGGGACGGAAGCACAGCATGAAGCACAGGAAGAAAACCACACAACGGTTGAACGCCCCTGCCAAACTGCGCAAGACAACCAACTGCTCCCTCAATCTAGGGTCAATCACTCCAAGCAAGCTAGAAAGACACAAACGACAGTTGCCAACATACTTCCAAGCATGCACACTATAGTCTCACTATAGCCAAACGTAACATCAAAATGCCCACTGGATTTTGTCGAGCCGCCAGACCAATTTGGCAGCTTCCGGACCAAGCCCAAGGCATGGTAACAGTATTTGGCTGCTCGGGCTGCGTAGGCTTCGTCGTCTTCATCCTCCAGCTTGTCGATGTCCAGCACGACATGCAGGGCGATCACATCTGCCACGTCATCCTAGGAACTCCGAAATGCACGGGCCCAAGCAATGCAAAGGAACTTTTCTCCAGCCTAAAAGCAAACTCAATGCTTCCAGACTTGTTTTGGCATCAACAACAGGCTGGGCAGGGGCATCATGTTCCACAGTTCAGGCTGCGCTGTCCAGGTTCGGTGGCGATTTGTGGCACCAGCCAAGCGGCAATGTTGTTGAGGTATGTCCGCTTACGCCGCATCTTCTCCCATAGCGAGTATAGGCCTTTCCTTTGCCCAACGCAAATCAGTCGGCACTTCATTACCACTTCAATGCTGACAACACAAGCAACTGCCCAACGAGCCCCTTCAAGAACAAGTCCTCCTTGAATGAGCCTTTCGTCAAGCTCGATTCGCGACAGGAGTATGAAGCTCTGCAAAGTCTATCGCTTGCAGTGCCCGACTGCAGCAAAGAAGCTCTTTGCCAGTGAGCTCGATGCGTACATCGTGCTCCTGAAACGTGGCGTCTTGCCTGCAAGGGCAAAGCGATGCAATGCGTGAATTCCTCAAGTGTGAACGAGAGATTGCCTCAGGATTTCTGCGCAATCGCTTGTGGCAAGCTGAAGCGTAGATTCATACCTTAGGTTGGGAGCGCTGACCACGTAGGGGAGTGCAGGACATGCAATCAGCACTGGCAGCACGCTTAAATTGGTGGCAGTCTGCTGCGCTCGTCTTGCACTCAGGAGCTTGTTCAGCTTCTGGAATTCCTGACGCAGCTGTCATTCCAAAGGTTGAAACTAGAGCCAAGAAGAGACTTCTGTGGCAGGAAAGGCGTTGGAGCGCGTGGAGGTCCGCTTCCCGCAGCATTTTGCAGCTTATTGCAGAGGAGCTGCTGTCGGGTAGAGGTACTTAAATGACCTGGCCAAAAGCAAGCGGCAACACTGGCAAACCAATCAAATGGCTCGAATGACATGCCTCAATGACTTGAGCAGGTCTTCTAAGCGAGCAAGCTGAAGGGATTCTGTTCACTGGGGGCGCACCTGGGATCACTCACCCGACGGGCTCTCACCCGGCCGGTTAGGCACAACAGAGGACCAACAGAAAGCAATCCGCAAATCGGCCAGGCCGACAAATCTTCCAGCTCGGTCTTGAAGAGCCAAACGCCCAGGCGGTGCGCGAGTTGGGCGAACACGAACTCGGAGCCACGCAAAGCCAGTTTTCCAGCAACCAAATCCACAAATGCTCCAGCAAAGCCCCTTCCAGCAGGGGTGCGTCCTGCTTTGCACAATCCTCTTTTTCCAACTCGCTCCCCTGGAAAAGTCGTGTTTCAAGCGACGTTCCAAACTTTGAGGAGCACCCATCCAACATTCTGGGAGATGAACCATGGCTGAAACTCTCCTGGAGTGTCGGGGCTGCGTCGTGCCTGGTAGTTATCCATCACCAGGACTGGACCCCATGACTTGTGCTGAAATGATTCTAACATCACAAGCAGAAACTGTCCAGGTTAAGCATGCCAAGCTGGCCGACCCCATCCGACCCTGCTAGAACAGCATGTGCCCCGAACGCAGCCACCAAGTTGCAAGCGTTTCCGCTGCAATCTTTTTCTGCTTGTCCTCTCGCCTGATCTGCAAATCTCACAGTCTGAGGTGCCTGCATAGAACATCTCAAAGTATATGTCTCAAATTTGGCAACCCCCCCCCCGCACCCCTCACCCCGTCTTGTGGTGGCTTCTCTTGCGCCACTTGGGAAGAAAAACAAGCATGTGGAGGCGCCTGGGGCGAATCACATTTTGCCGGCGAGTTACATGAACTCGAGCGTGCGCATATTGTGCAGCCGATCCTCATCAATATTCCGCAGCACGCACAAAGTCTACTTCTGCTGGGTCAGCAATGTCCCATCACCATCAAAATTCAAAAAGAAAACAGGGCGTCGGGGGTTGATGTTTGCACACCCTCATGCACAAGCCGGCCATCAATGGCTGAGAGCAGGTCGGCCAGCTTCACCAGGATCACCCGGTAGTCGTCGGCCATCGCCAAAAACATATCCTGACATGGCCGAGGCCGCTGGCATGTGCCAAGCGGTGGGCAAACTGTCTAAAGCAGTGCAAGTTGCAAAATCCAATTGCTGGCTAAGTGAGAGCTTTAATTCCATTCCTCAATATTCCTCAGCCATCCCTAAGTCACGCATCATTGTCAGCTCTCTGGCTTGTGGTCTAATTCTCCATGCGCTGCTGGTCGCACGTGTTCATAGGCCCTCACAAGCATGTCACGTTAGGACTGTTTATCCAAATGGAACAGATTGGTACCACTTTTCCTCAGCCTGGGTAGCCGAGGCTTCCGTAATCTGCCAGCATCTGCCAGCCTTCCCTCAAACAATCAGAAAATCCGCCGACGCCAGTCGAGCGTGTAGATGGCAATCCGCAACTTGCTCTTCCTTCGGAATTTTATTTTACATCCGAAGGCTTTCTTTGCGGCCATTTTTGGGCAAACTTGCCGGGTGTCCAATCCTGCAATGTCCGAGTGGTTTGGGTCTTCGAACGTCTAAAACACGCGTTTTGTCTAGGTCTCTTGGGGGGTGGGGGTTGCATTCCCAGCGTTCTCACGGCTGTCTTGGCAGCATGACTTTTGTTTTTGCTCATGTCAATTGCGTTTTTTTTCTGCTTTGAGCAATGTTGGATTTGGCATGTTTGGGGTCTTGGCGGGGGCAAGTGTAGTGACGATATAATTTGGAAACATGTTTTTGTTTTTGTTTTTGCAAAATCCCCATTAGTATAGGGGCTTCGCTGCGAAACATCCCAGCATTGGGGTGCTCCCAGCATTCTTTGCACACCCGCCATCGCCAAGTAGTACTTGGCAATTTGTTTGCGTCCAAAGTTCGTGACAATCTCGGCTTGGACATTTAGCCCGGCCTAGTATGCAGTCTGGTTGCATCCTCCGCAATTTCAGCATATGGGAGGGATAGGCAGTTAGTCGCGGCAGTCGTTGCACCACAAATGGCGTCGGCGGATCGCGCAGCGATTTCAATAGATTTCTGGCCACCTGTGTGACTGGGTGGGAGGTGCGCATGAAACACGCGGTGTCTGCATAAATTTCGCCTGGCTCTAACCGATTCACCTTCCTCATTCCATCTAAGCAAAGGTGTCAGGCCCAGCGTGAGCAGTTGCGCATCCTACTTTTCTCGAATGTCGCATGACTGCCGTGTCATTCCTCTGACAGCTGCTTTTTCAAAACTGAATGTTCTGGGGAAACAGGAAGCTTGGGCTTTCCCTTCACTTACTGCGCCTTAAATGCAAGCCTCACGTCTGAGCCAGGGACAGCCCCTTGTCCAAAAGTCAGACAAGCCTCTCAACTTGAATCTAATTGACGTATATTGACGTGTTCGTTGGAGGGTTTTGGCCTCGATCCCTACCTTCGAAGGCCCGTGAGGAACGCCCCCGCATGGGCCTGCGGAGGTCTTTGAGGCCCGGGCCCGCAAGTTCTCTGCCTGCTCCCGAGCCTTTGCCACCTCTGGGGGCGAGGGCGGCTTCCCGAGGAATTGATTGAACCTGAGCCAGTGTCGAGAAACACTCGAGCAATTGCCGAGAGTAGATCTATGGGTGAGCCGCCCGCTTCCTCGTAGCGAAGCCGCCTCAACTACTACAAATGATCAATTTCTGATCAATTCACTTGCACCCCCCCCCCCCCCCGCCCCATCCGCACAAAACAGAGATGTACCATTCACTTTGTGGCCTGGCCGGCGAGTGGCGCAAAGCAAGGCCCTTCGAGCCCGAGAGCTGCCCCATAGTTTGGTGTTGGGGCAGCATGAAGCTCTGCACAAGGTTGAAAGCCACTGACGCTCATGAATGTGCTTGCAAATCACCAGCTGCCCCACCCACAACAAGAGACTAAGCGAGTATCAAGTAGCTGCAGCTTCTGACCACTTTCGGCTACCCTAGTAGGTAACAAACAAAACAAATCAGCCAGCAAATGCCAAGACCATTGTCCAGGGAACTGGCCGACCACGGGCGCCCCTCCTAGCCTGGAAAAAGGTCAGCAGAAGTTCAACACGCCCCGGAACCGCTGAGCCCCCCGTTCCTTCCAGCTCAGAAGCAGCGAAGTGTAGCGACTCCATCCAGCCGTCCTCTTGGAGGCCTTCGTCTCGCCCTCTACGATGCCTTGGTGGCGCATCAGCTTCAGCAAGCTTCCTAAAGAACGACTTGAACTCGAATCCAGGCAAATTGGAAAGCGATGTCTTCGTTGTCTTGCTTGAGGTATCTGAAATCGTGCAATGCCCAACGCTCTGGCGCGGCATGCCGCAGATTGGTTCAAGCAATGGGCTGTCTTACATAATACGACCCAGGCATCCAGGCATCTGTCCTGCTCACAGGTTCGACCAGAACCCTGGATGGTGCCCTCGCATGGTTTGAACTCCCCAAATGACCACCGCACCTGGAAGCACGGCGTAAACACCGACGATATGACACATCTAATTTCGAGGTGCCTCACCCCCTGCCCTCTCACCCTCGCATTTTGCCTGCGCAGCGCTCCAAAGAACCCCAGTTGTCTCCAAGCAACGTCGCACATCTGGCCCGAAAATGCCCTCCAGGTCTTCGAAGCGCATGGTGGCGTTGTCTTCCACCGTGTCATGTAGCCTAAAGTCGTTGGAAACCGCTGAGAAGCTGTCGGCGAAGCTGACGCTGTTTGCTCTCACCGGTCTTACCGAAAGGGCTTTCCAAAGTTACATGCAGGCTGGGCATGCAGGCTTCCGGATGCGTCACGACGAGCTATGTAGATTGTGGAAGTATCTCCTTTACTTCAGGTGGCTCCTCAAATGAGTGCTTGCTGCCCCACCACGTCACCAACCGTGGTGGCACTTCCTGCTGAGCGCTTTGAAGCATTGCTCCAATTTCAGCTTCGGAGCAGGCCACTGACGATAACTTCTGCCTGCACCTGGCCAGGCTCGCCAACGCCCTGTGCCAAAAAGCGGGAACAACCCCACTTTGAAGTATGGACGAACCTTCAACCCTATGACCCTACTGAAATGTCTGATGCGGGACCTGATGGCTGAGCTTGTCACCTTGTGCCCTGGGATGCCCTGGGCTCACGTGAGTACTTTCTTTGCAGGCATGGAGCCAAAGACTTTGCCGTTCAAAAGCGTACTCATACTCGACAAAAGCAGCTATGGACACCTCAATTGGCTCTGCATCTCTGGCCTAGTTCAAGCAAGCACTGTTCTTTCAATGAATCTGTTCATTCTGCTTGACAGATTTCGGCACATTTTGTTTTTTGCCAAAACTTGCATGTTTGCATGCGGCATCCCATGTCGCATTGTGTTTGATATCCAGCCCCTGAAATCGAAAGTACCACCTTCAGCAGCGCCAAAAGTTCGGCCACCGCCACTGGGTGCACGATGTAAGGCTCACCGGATTTGCGAGTCTGGCCCTTGTGTGCCAACCTGAGCTTTGTCACGGACACTTCCGCAGCCAAAAGGCACACAGCCCACAAGGAGAAAGAAAGAACAACCTTGACACTGTTCAGACAAACCGCAAGGTCACCAGGGAGTCATGTCGCGGGCCACACCTTGTCCCCACTTGAATTTAGTTGACGTGTCACACGCAGGAGCAGTTGCACAACTTGCATCGTAGAGTGGCGGAAAACAGTGCCAAACATTCCACGAAGCAGCTTGCAACAGCTCCAGAGCAGGGATGCCGTCTTTTGTAGACTTGCAGCAATGATATATTACAAAGTCAACTTGGCTCCAACAGCCAACTGACCGCACATCTGCACAATCACAACCATAAATAAGCCTCAGCCCGGAGGTCAAAAGGCGAAGCCAAGGGGCGCTGCAACACAAAGTGCCGAAAGAGCTAGAAGGCGGTCGTCACGTGACCTCAGCCAACTTGCTGCAATATTAATGCTTGCCCCAGATACATATTAAACATAATAGTAACCTCCTTCCAAAGGAACGTGACCTTCCAAAAAGGCAAAGCCTCTCTTCCAAATGCGGCATTATGCTGCAATGTTCAGGTTTCGCGCTTGCCATTCATGCTCAGTGACAGGTACATCAGCTTCGGCTCCAGGTCCTCCCAGAGATGTTCCACCTCAACAGCTGGTGTCTCTCTCCATCACATGTCCGTTCTTAGGTTGGGTCAGGCTTTGTAGGAGAGAAACTGGGCCCTCCCGGATCTGGCCATCTTGGCCAAACTGGAGCAAAACTGGCTTGTGTCTCGCGGCCTGCTTCCTGAGCTCACCATCCGGGTCGTCCTGCAAAGCAAAAGGGCGCGCGCATGTGGAATTCTGGCTTCTTGGATTCCTGCAGGGCAGAATGTCACACGCCCGCCAAGCATTAGATGCAGGAGCTTTCTGGAGCATCCTGGGGGATTCCAGGACGGAAATTCCTATCATGCGCCTTTTCGACTCCTCAGCTTGGGACGCCGCCACGCTTCAACCACAACTGTACGCAGGAGAGTGTGACGTTGTCTAGCACGATGTGGCACAGCAACAGAATAACCATACTGCAAATGACCATTTATGTTGAGATCAGTCAAAGAGTCGGTTCTTCTGGGTAGCCATGGCTACCCTGACGCATAACATGGCCGGCCACATGGCGAGCATGAATCCAAAACACGAGGTACTAGGAAAGATTTCCCCACACACACACACACGCGCACGCACACACACACACACACCCGCCTTGGCTCTACCCCGACAAAGTAATGACAAACCTGAAAAGGACAATTCCCCAAGAAGCACAACACAAGGGCCTCGCCTCCTGACGGGGCGTGCCCTTGGCTGCCAGCTGCCAGCGGCTCGCGTAGGAAATCCCAGGCGTGGCCACGCGGGACACGCGGCGAGAGGCCGCCTGCGCGGTGAATGTGCGAAGGAACGAAACACAAAACAACGAATTTCATATAGGGAATGGGAGATGGGAGCTCCCAGGCACATGTCCCAAGGACCAAAGAACACACAAGTAGCAAACTTCGTCCCAACCCCGCGGGGTTGCATTGCAAGCTCATCTCCAGGTACTTTCGACAGGTTGTCTCCAGCACATGGTGAATGGTTTCTTCGCCTTCAGCTTGGTGGATCCAAACCAATTACAGAGCCAATCCTCCACCGGCGGTTTGGGCTGACCTGGTACTCCAGGACTTTAACGTTGACGATTAGCAAGGCAAGAGCTACGGAAATATGCTCCCAGAATCATCTCCCGACCTAAAGAGGCGTAAGCGGGCAACCCCCTAGATGCAAGTGCTCAAAGCAGCCTGGGATAGCCACAAAGAACCCAACCACTTCACCCAGCCACACGGTCTCCAAGCTTGGCCCAGGCCTTCCGGGCCGCTCGCTTGCCAATCCGGCTCAGAAATTTGGAGCACGGTGTGAAAGCAATGCCTTGGCTTTGCATCGTCCAGCGAAAAGAAAAACAGAACATGTGCATTCACGCATGCAGCACGCATGCATATAGCCCCTTTAAAGTTAGGCATCGATTTGATTGTCCGGTCGGCCGTGCCGAAGGCGTTAAAGTCTTTAGCCGAATCAGCAACTGCGGCCTTGAGCGCTGAGCGCAAGCACGGCAAGCACCCAGATGCGACAACTTAGGCGAAAGAGCAAAGGAGATCAGATCAAGGCAGTATTTCAAAGGCATCAAACAACCCACCAAAACCCAGAAAACAAGCTCACAAAGCTCACATACGTCCCACGTCTGTCCTCGACGGACCCTCCCCTTCCATCAAAGCCCAGATGCACGCACTGCACGCCAGCAAAGCACCGGCCGCCCGCGCGGGGCGTTGCAAATTCGGGCCTTGCGGCCTGGCACTTGTCTCCATGTGAAAGCTTGCACCCTAACCTGACATGCCTGAGGCGACTTGACAAGGGCGCGAATTGCGTCCAAGGCCTTAGGCCCCTGGGTTGGCAAGCCCGATTTACAAGTTTGCAAGAAGCTTAGGATCCACATGGGTTCGAACAAATCTCACACAAAGTATTGTTGTTGGGAACTTGGATGGACTTGGCCTTGTGGTGCTCAATCTCGGCGAATCAATGGCTTGCAGGTGCGTGTGCTGTTTCTATCCCTTGTTGGGTAAGCCAGGTTAGAGATGTCGCCCGAGCAAATGGAAAGGTGTGGGCAGGTTGCGCCTTAGGATCCTCTTCTCAGTGGCGGCTGCCACAACCGTCTGCCGACATGCTGCCCCTGCCATGGGCTCACATGGCAGAGGCCACAACCATGAGGCTAGCAAAGACGAGACCCCGGGATTGAGCACACTCCTTCACTTCTTGAACCCATGACTTTGCAAAAGTTCCATGTGCAGTTTCTACGTCTGCAAGGCTTGTCAACTCGACTTTTCCACCTTGAGCCGAATGCCGGTGTCCTCATGGCTTGTACGTGCTAAAGGCATGCCTCCGCATCTGGCACATCTCCTGGGTACATAAGGGGATCTGTTTTCTATTCTCCCGGCAGTTCTTCGAGCGAGATTCACTCGACGCAGTACTGCTAGGAGTGCTATCCGCTCAGAATGCCTGCGCTGTTCGGCAATCATCTAAGCAGGCCACACTCCGTGATTGGTGCAACAATGTATGGGCATGGCCTTTGACAGAACTTCAGCAATTCATCTGGCGACCCGCCAGTTTATCTCGGCGACAACGCCAGTTTGGTGGCTGATTGAAAAAACAGAAGCAGAGGGCTGGCCAGTCCTACTCCTGAATCCGATAGGGGGAACCACTAACCCAAAGAGAAATTAGACCAATTGGCCTGGAACGGTCATGCTGCACAGTGAGCGGAAGCAGCGCATTGTCCACGAGGCCCCCGTAGCCAAAGATCGCGCTGTCGCCGTCTGCGCGCTGCGCGCTCTGCGCGCTCTGCGCGCTCTGCGCCCAAGCGGCGAGGCCCTGGGCACTGGCCTCCTGGGACCAGCGCGTGGATTCCCGCCGTGCGTCCAAACGCGCCAAGGCCTGCCACCTTGAAAGGGCCGGGAAGAAGGTGTGCACTGCAATGGCCTGACGCCGGACATGAGCTTGCAGCTTGTAGATGCTATGCCGAATCTTCATGACTTAACCAAATAAAGGAGCTGAGCGGCTGTAAAATGAGCACCGAGGGAGAAGAAGGAATTCAGCCTGCGATCCAGCAGGCGGAAGGAAGCCGTCTCGCTGGTTGACCCACTTTCCAGGCATAACGCTTCCAATTTGGATCGCAAGCTCCGCCATTCCGCGCGGAAGCAACTCTCAGCAGCACTTGGCATTGTGCCATGCTCTGACGGAATCTCGAGGGCAGTAACCTGCCGAGACTCGTGGGGGCCTGGTGCGCTGGATGTGGCTGGGCCGGGTGTAACTGCTACTTGGGCAAGAAGCTCAGGAAGATATGCCACCTGCCCAGCAACCTGCAAGGAAGAGCTAGCCAGGGATGCTGTGATCACGTCGGGCTGCAGAGCATCCTGCTAGCGTAAAACAACAATGCTGTGAACTGGCCCCAAGCCCACCGATTCAAACAAGATTGATACGGCCCTCCTATCAGAACATGTCTGCCATGATCTAAAACCAGATGGAACCATGAACCAAAGTCCTCAACCCGGTCCTCTCTCATATCGCTCAAGGTTCGGAGGACCCCTTGCCAGCTGAGGCTTTTCTGACACGCCTCTGCCAAGGAGTTGTAAGTCACCTGCAAGTCCAACTACTGATGTCGACAGGCACCGAGGCACGGGGATCCCAAGGCAACAAAGCATCCAGGCTCTACAAAAAAGTAGTCAAACCAAAAAAATGTTTGTCCACTTGTCACACTAAGACTCCGTGCTCCGTTGGATGCTCCAACTTCGCATTTGGCTTAGGAGCAGCAGTCCGAGTTCCCAATGCCCTGCTGCAGCACAAGCGCTAATCTCCGCGTTGCACATGATCTCATTGGGCCGAAGCTTCCTTGGGTGGACCAAAAATGGTCAGCACGTTTGGTTTTAGTATCACCCGCTGACTCCGCTGACATGAACAGGAACTGCACAAAA